ACAGAATACACATTCTTCTCTAGTGCACATGGAATATTCTCCAGAATAGGTCACATCCTGGGTCATAAATCAGGTCTCAACCAGTACCAAAAGAATGGGATCATTCCCTGCATATTTTCAGACCATAGTACTTTGAAACTAGAACTCAATCATAAGAGGAAAGTTGGAAAGAACTCAAGTATATGGAGTGTAAGGAGCATCCTACTAAAGAATGAATGGGTCAACCACGAATTTAAAGAGGAATTAAAAAGAATTCATGGAAACAAATGAAAATGAAAATACAACTGCTCAAAATCTTTGGGACACAGCAAAGACAGTCCTGAGAGGAAAGTATATAGCAATCCATGCCTTTCTGAAGAAACAAGAAAGGTCTCAAATACACAACCTAACCCTACACCTAAAGGAGCTGGAGAAAGAATGTCAAAGAAAGCCTAAACCCAGCAGGAGAAGAGAAATAATAAAGATCAGAGCAGAAATCAATGAAATAGAAACTAAAAGAATAGTAGAACAAATCAATGAAACTAGGAGCTGATTCTTTAAAAGAATTAATAAGATTGATAAATCCTGGCCAGATTTACCAAAAAGAAAAGAGAAAGTCATGAATGAAAGTGGAGAAATCACAACCAACACCAAAGACATACAAACAGTTATAAGAACATATTATGAGCAACCATACACCAGCAAATTTGACAATCTGGAAGAAATAGATGCATTTCTAGAGACGTATAAGCTACCAAAACTGAACCAGGAATACATAGAAAACCTGAACAGACCCATAACCAGGAAGATTGAAGCAGTCATCAAAAATCTCTCAACAAACAAGAGTCCAGAGCCAGACAGCATCCCAGGGAATTCTACCAAACATCTGAAGAAGAATTAACACCTATTCTCCAGAAACTGTTCCAAAAAATAGAAATGGAAGGAAAAATTCTAAACTCATTTGATGAAGCCAGCATTACCTTGATCCCCAAACCAGAAAAAGACCCGATCAAAAAAGAGAATTATAGACCAATATCCTTGATGGACATGGATGCAAAAATTCTCACTAAAATACTAGCCAATAGGATCCAACAGTACATTAAAAGGATTATTCAGCACGACCAAGTGGGATTTATTCCTGGGCAGCAAGGTTGGTTCAATATCTGCAAATCAATCAATGTGATACGATGCATTAATAAAAGAAAGAACAAGAACCATATGATACTCTCAATAGATGCTGAAAAAGCATTTGACAAAGTATAGCATCCTTTCCTGATCAAAACTCTTCAAAGTATAGGCATAGAGGGTGCATACCTCAATATCCTCAAAGTCACCTAAGAAAAACCCACAGTGAATATCATTCTCAATGGAGAAAAACTGAGAGCTTTTCTCCTAAGGTCAGGAAAATGGTAGGGATGTCCACTTTCACCATTGCTATTCAACATAGTACTAGAAGTCCTAGCCTCAGCAATCAGACAACAAAAAGAAATTAAATGCATCCGAATCGGCAAAGAAGTCAAACTCTTACTCTTTGCAGATGATATGATACTTTATGTGGAAAACCCAAAAGACTCCACTCCAAAACTCTAGAACTCAGGAATTCAGGAATGTGGCAGGATATAAAATCAATGCACAGAAATCAGTTGCATTTCTATACACCAACAGCAAGACAGAAGAAAGAGAAATTAAGGAGTCGACCCCATTTACAATTGCACCCAAAACCATAAGATACCTATGAGATAAACCTAACCAAAGAGGCGAGAATCTGTACTCAGAAAACTATAAAGTATTCATGAAAGAAATTGAGGAAGACATAAAGAAATGGAAAAATGTTCCATGCTCGTGGATTGGAAAAACAAATATTGTGAATATGTCTATGCTACCTAAAGCAATCTACACATTTAATGCAATCCCTATCAAAATACCATCAATGTTTTTCAAAGAAATGGAACAAATAATCCTAACATTTATATGGAACCAGAAAAGATGCCAAATAGCCAGAGGAATGTTGAAAAAGAAAGCCAAAGTTGGTGGCATCACCATTGCAGACTTCAAGCTCTATTACAAAGCTGTCATCATCAAGACAGTATGGTACTGGCACAAAAATAGACAAAAGCATCATTGGGACAGAATAAAGAGCCCAGAAATAGACCCTTAACTCTACGGTCAACTAACCTTCGACAAAGCAGGAAAGAATGTCCAATGGAAAAAAGACAGTCTCTTTAACAAATGGTGGGAAAATTGGATGGCTACATACAGAAGAATGAAACTAGACCATTTCCTTATACCCCACACAGAAACAGACTCAAAATGGATGAAAGACCACAATGTGAGACAGGAATCCATCAAAATCCTTGAGAAGAATACAAGTAGCAACCTCTTTGACCTCAGTCACAGCAACTTCTTCCTAGAAACATCACAAAAGGTAAGGGAAGCAAGGGCCAAAATGAACTATTGGGACTTCATCAAGATCAAAACCTTTTGCACAGCAAAGGAAATACTCAACAAAACCAAAAGACAACCAAGAGAATGGGAGAAGATATTTGCAAATGGCATATCAGATAAAGGGCTCGTCTCCAAAATTTATAAGGAACCTATTAAAGTCAACACCCAAAGAACAAATAATCCAATCAAGAAATGGGCAGAAGACACGAACAGATATTTTTTGCAAAAAAGACATCCAGATGGCCAACAGACACATGAAAAAGTGCTCAACATCACTCAGCATCAAGGAAATAGAAATCAAAACCACAGTGAGATACCACCTCACACCAGTCATAATGGCTAAAATTAACCAGTCAGGAAATGACAGATGTTGCTGAGGATGCAGAGAAAGAGGAACCCTCCTACACTGCTGATGGGAATGCAAGTTGGTCCAGTCACTATGGTAAAGAGTATGGAGGTTGCTCAAAAAGTTGAAAATAGTGCTACCCTATGACCAAGCAACTGTACTACTTGGTGTTTACCCTAAAGATACGAATGTCATGATCTGAAGGGTCATGTGCACCCGAATGTTTAAAGCAGCAATGTCAACAAGAGCCAACTATGGAAAGAACCTAGATGTCCGTGAACAGATGAATGGATAAAGAAGATGTGGTATATACATATAATGGAATACCATGCAGCCATCCAAAAAACCCCTCAATCTTGCCATGTGCAACAATGTGGATGGAAGTAGAGGGTATCATGTTAAGCGAAATAAGTCAAGTAGAGAAAGACAATTATCATATGATCTCTCTGATATAAGGAACTGGAGAAGTAAGGGTAGTGGGGGGTAGGGAAGGAAAAATCAGAACAAGATGGGACCGGGGGGGGGCCGCAAAGATAAACCATAAGAGACTCATAATCTCACGAAGCAAACTGAGAGTTGCTGGGGGGGTGGGGAGGGATAGGGTGGCTGGCTTATGGACATTGGGGAGGGCACGTGCTATGGTGAGAGCTGTGAATTGTGTAAGACTGATGATTCACAGACCTGTACCCCTGAAGCAAATAATACATTATATGTTAATAAAAAAATTTAAAAATTGAAAAAAATGTTTAAAAAGAAAAAAAATAATCAAAGGATGATGTTTTCCTTGCAAATTATCAAGACATAGTATATAACTATTGTAATTTGAATATTGCCATTTTGGTTATTTATTAAAAATAACTAAGTAAAGATCCAAAACCCAACCCATGGATATATGAGAATACATATTTAAAATATATTCAAACCCTTTTAGTACTGTAAGATTTAACACTTCAAATTGGTAAGAGAAAGATAAATATTCAATATAATTATGAAAGTAATTGGCTATTTATATAAGAGTAAAGCTAGATTTTCACTTTACAGAATTCACAAAAGCCAGTTTCAAATAAATTACATAAATAAAGAAAATTACAAAATATTTAAAGTAAATATTGAAGAATATTTAATCTTTTAGGATATGATAGGCCTTTAAAAGGCAAACACAAAGGAAAAACTCATGAAAGAAAAAGCTAACAAACCTGGCAACATCCAAACTAAAATCTTCTGAAGAGTGAGAACACCACAAACAAATTAAAAATAAGTAATTCACCAGAAGAAATACTTGCATCTTGTGTAACAGAAAAAAGACTAGTAATCATATAAATAACATCTATAAAATAAAATAAACCAACAGACTTAGAGTTTAAAGGAAAAAATAGGTAATTTACAGATAAGCAAATAGCCAATTTACCTATAAAAATATGCAATAGTAAAAGTAAACTTCTTTGATTAGATATAATATGGATCATAGTTACAATATTGAGAAGTAGAACCAAACTGCCCCAAAACATTTACCAAATAATAATATTAATATAAACAAATACATTCCCAAATACATGTACATACAATAACACGTATGTAAATGGATGCAAACATTTTGGTGTAATGGGGTTAGAAGAAGCAGGTGGACATGAAAAAGATTAGGGGCCTAGAGTAAGATGGTATGTCTATAATATTTTGTTTTCCTTCAAGGAAAATGTTGTTGTTACTTGTGTAATTTAAAAAGTCAATGTCAAAATATAAAAAGAAGTCACCAAATGCACAACTCAAGGGTAAAACCTTTCAATTTCAGACGCTAGAAAAAGGGTAAACTAAACATAAAGCAACCAGAAAGAAATTATTTTTAAAAAATAGGATATAAGCTAATGAAATGAAGAACAGTAAAACAGAGAAATCAGTCAAACTAGAAGTGTATATATTTTGAAAAGATTAAAAAGATCAACAACCGACAAACCTATAAACTGATTAAAAGAAAAAAAACCTCAAACTACTAAAATTAAGAATGAAAGAAGAAACTTTCCACTGATGTTACAGAAATAAAAAGGTTTATGTAACAGGGCACCTAGGTAGTAGCTCAGTCTGTTAAGCATCTTACTCTGGGTTTCAGCTGAGCTCGTGATCTCAGGGTCCTGGGATCAAGCCCTACACTGGGCTTCAAGCTCCATAGGGAGTCTGTCTGAGGAGTCTCTCCCTCTTCCTCCGCTCCTCTCCCTGCTCATGCAGGCTCGCTCATGTGCTCTCTTCTTCTCAAATAAATAAATCTTAAAAAAAAAAAAAAAAGGTTTATGTAAGAACATTATAAGCAACTATATACCAAAAAATTAAATAGCTTAGATTAAATGGAAAGATTTGTAGTCCAAAATTAGACAAAGATACCACAAGATAAGAAAACTGTAGACCAGTATCTCTTATGAATTAAATGCAAAAATGCTCAAAATACTGAAAAGACTGTATCTAGCAATATGCATAAAGGAATATAAATCATGACCAAGTGACATTAAGCTCAGGAATGGGAGGTAGCATTAACATTCAAAAATCAGTGTAACATAACATATCAAGAGAATAAAGCACAGACCCACAAAATCATCTCAATAGACACACACAAAAAATATGGCAAAATATAAAATCTTTTCATAATAAAAACATTCAACAAAGTACAAACGGAAGGGATCTTCCTTCTATTGATAGAAGAGCATCTACAAAAAAAAAAAACCTCACAATCTTCATACTTAATAATGAAAATAAAATAAAATTAAATTAAAAAACAATAATGAATGACAAATGCTTTCTCCCTAAGATCAAGAAAAAGACAAGGATGTCTGAGCTCACCCCTTTCATTCAGCATTGTACTGGATGTCCTGACTAGGGCAATCAGGCAAGAATATCCAAACTGGAAAGAACAAGCAAAGCTATGACTGATTGTAGACAACAATCTTGTACATAGGAAAATCCTAAGTCTCTAAGTCAGTAAAAATCTTCCAGAAATAATTAATTAGCAAGGTTACCAAAAAAAAAAAAACAAAAAAAAAAAAACCAATATAGGAAAATCAGTCCTATTTCTATACACTTACAATAAAGAATTTGAAAATGAACTTGAGAAAACAATTCCACTTACAACAGAATTAAAAATAATAAAATACTGGGGTGCCTGGGTAGCTCAGTTGGTTGCTGGAAGGGTGGGAGGAGGGAAAGGGTGGCTGGATTTGTTAGCATCTGACTCTTGGTTTCAATTCAGGTCACAATCCTAGGAACATGAAATCAAGCCCCATAACTGGTTCTGAGCTCAGGGCAGAGTCAGATTCTCTCCCTTCCTCTCCTTCTGCCCTTCCCTTCTCAAATCAACCAATCAATCTTAGGAATAATTTAATAAATCAAGGGCTAAAATTATGTTCTGCAAAACTACAAAATGTTGTTGGAAGAGATTAAAGGTCCATGTAAAGTAAAGACATCCCAGGTTCATGGATCAGAAGATCTAATATTGTTCAGATGGCACATTCCTTAGATCTTTGATCTATAGAGTTAGTATCAAAAGCTCAGCTAACTTCTTTGCAGAAATTGACAAGCTGATCCTAAGATTCACCTGGATGAACCAACAAAAGTTGGAAGACTCATATTCCTGATTTCAAAATGCACTACAAAACTACAGGTTTCAAGACAGTGTGGTACTGACATAAAAATGGGCACACAGATCAATGGAATAGAATCAAGAGCCCACAGATAAACTCATATACCTATGGTCAACTGGTTTTTGACAGGAGTGCCAGGACCATACAACAGGAAAATAATAGTCTTTTCAACAAATGGCACTGGGGCAACTGGATAGCCACATGCAGAAGAACGAGGCTGGACCCCAATCCAAAATTAACTCAAAATGAATCAAGACCTAAATATGAGTTAAACTACAGACTCTTAAAAGAAACATAGGTGCTTATCTCCTCATGCTTTTGGATTTGGCACTGGTTTCTGAGATACATCCTAATGCACAAACAACACTGGTAAATTGGACTTCATGAAAATCAAAAACTTCTGTGGGTTAAAGAATATTATGAAGAAAATGGAAAGACAATCCATAACCCATAGAATGGGGAATTTGATATGTAAATCATATATATGATAAGAGACTTGTATCTAGAATATATAAAGGACTCTTAAAACTCAGTGGTAAGGAGACAATCAAACTTAAAAATGGGCAAAGGTAAGAATAGACATTTCTCAAACAGATATATAAATGCCCAATAAGCCACTAAAAAGATGCTTAACTTCATTAGCCTTGATATTAATGCAAACCAAAACCACAATGAAATATCATGTCACACCCACTAGGACGGCTATAATCATAGGGATAAATACAAGCATTGATGAGGATCTGAAAAAAGCATAACCCTCATACTCTGCTGGTAGAAACTGAACATTGTACAGTCTTTTTGAAAAATAGTCTGGTTAAACAGAGTTTCCAAATGACCTAAGAATTGTACTCTTGGGTATAAATCCTAGAGAAATGGAAACATGTTCACATAAGAACTTACACATAAATGTTCAGAGTAGCATTATTCATAATAGTCAAAAGGTGGAAACTCAAATGTCTCTCAACTGATGAATGGCTGAACTGTGGAATATTCATACAATTAAAAGTTATTCATCCATAAAAATGAAGTTATGATTTATGTTACAACAGACAAGAATCTTGAAAACGTTATGCTAAAGAATAGAAGCCAGACACAGAAAGCCATATAGTGTATGATTCCATGTATATGACACGTCCAGAAGGAGCAAATACATAGAAACACAAAGTGGATTAGTGTTTGCCTAGGGCTTTCACAGTTGGGAAGAAGTACGGAGTGACTATTATTGCACATGGGATTTCTCTTAGAGATGATAAAATATTCTACAAGTGGTTATACTGACAGTTTCACAATGCTATTATACCATAACCATTGGGTTGTACACTTTATTTTTTTGGAGTGTCCACTTTAAATAAGCAAATTGTATTATATATGAATTATAGCTCAACAAACCTGTTTAAAAAGTGAGGATAATATGCACAATACCCCATACCTCCCACTATTTTTTACAGTTAGATGCAACTAGCTTTATAGGAATTCTCTACCGTACTTCCTTTGTGATTTGTCAAACATCTGTATCTTTTGTTTCTATACAAACATGCATAGTTCTCATGTACCTATTTCTTCATCAGATAATCTAAATTTTTATATATTTGATTAGGAAAGAAAAAGAAAATTACAAAAATATATGGTGATTACTGGAATTTCTGCTCTTCTGTTGCATAGAAATTATTCCAGAAAAAAAAAAAAAAACTGGGCAAGAAACTGGAGAAATAGGCTAACATTGGAAGAGATTACTGCTTCCAAGGACAAAGAAGGAACCGTCTGTAACACACATCTTTATTTAGCAATAAAGATCTTGTTCCTAAGAGGAAAATACCTCTTGAGCTAAACCAAATAGGCCCCTCCACGAGGAGAGGGGATTCGGCCTCCCACTTGACTCCCCAGAAGTGGATTTCACAAGCCTACATGCAACCCAGAATTGAGCCACATTATCTACTCACAATAAAATTGTGGGCCTTAAGTACCCCATTTTTATTCCTTCACCTTGCCTGCCAGAGATTCTATTGATGAACCAAATAATAGAGGAAAATGTGGATGGCCTATGGCTGCTTCCTTGTCAAAAACAGAAGAAAAAAAAGAAAGGGAGGAAGGAAGAAAAGGTCTCCAATTATACACATTAGCCTTAATTTTGGCCTTTGGATGATCAGATAATGTTTCTGCCCATGAAATGAATTCTTGTGGCAAGTCCATGCTTTTCAGTGTCAAAAATAAAAGCTTCCAATTAACTGTCAAAAGCTTTTCCAGCATCTGGAGACAGGAGTAAATTGGAATCTTTTATATTGGTAGCTTTTGACATTATATTAAACAATCTTCTAGGCTTGTCATAGTCCATTCTTTGTATATATCCCAACTGGATTGTGTTTATCAATTGTTTTATTAGGCAATCTAATCTTTTAGCTCAATTTCTACATTTCTTATATTCGAGTGCAGTCAAGGGACACTTTTGCTCCTGTGCAATAATCTTCATGTTGTTTTCACAAGGACAAGGCCGGGGATATTTTTTAGAGTACAAGAGGGGGGTTTTGGTGTGTTTTTTGCTGTTGTTGTTGTGTAGGGGTTTTTTGGCCTTTTTTTCCTTTAGAAAGTCACTCCTGCATAGGGTTACATGCTGCTGTCTCAGCACTGGCAACCAGAGTGTCATCTAGACAACGAATCGGATATTGGAGATTGCTGTAATCTTTTCCACAAGGAAAGGTAAATATCAGAGCCATTGATCCACGCTTACGTACTTCTTTCCAAGCCTGAGATTTTCTCTTGAAAATAGAAAATGCTGCATGGAAACATTTCCCATTTCCCAGTATCTTCTCTACTCTCAAGGATTTTCTTTGTTTTACATTTGAAAAGGTAATCAAGTCACATAAATGAGCTCAGGATTTTTCCTTTGCTCTTAACTCCAAAAAAACTTTTCAAGAAAAGTTGGAATCGAAAAAGCCTCTTTTTTTATTTCTTCATATGTTAATATCTGGGGCTATTTTCTCATTTGACTTCTGTTTTCTTTGTTCCTCTTTCGTAAGAATGTCTGCATTTACCACATTTAACTTGTGTTCCTTTTGGATTCATAAATGCATATATTTTTCTTTAATCAAACTCTATGTTCCCTGGGAAGCTAAAAATTATTCCAGGCTGAGCGTATTATGTATTAACAAAAAAAAAAAAAAATATATATATATATATAGTGAAATCATTTGTATTCATTTTTCAAAATACTTCTCAGCCCAGTTTAGGAAGTCTTTACTTTATTGGATTTGTTCATTTGAATTTTTTTTGCCACTAAAGTAATTCAAATATACAGATGACCAACCATATAGATGTGAAAAGAATTGGAGCAATTGTTATGGGGGCGGGGGGAGGGGGGATCCACTTGCAGCAAATGATTAAAGAAAAGCAGTGCTCTGGCATGAACTTCTTGATGCCCTTCCTCCCCTTCTCTGTTTTCTGTCTGAAATACAAGAACAGTTTCCACCTTCCTGCGGGGCCAGAACAAGCCCTGGAGTGTATCAAGCAGTAACTCACCCAAAGTCACCAGATCCCCTGGGAACCGGGGTGAACAAAGGCCTACGTGAACTGAGCAGGTGCCAATCCATAGCCAAAAGCAAAGCTCTGGGTCCAAGAGCAAAGAAATGTCATTAAACTGA